TGAATCTCATCGGGCTCCCAATCACACATCTGGACTTCCAGGGCGACCAAACCCTTTCCCTTTTTGCACCCGCTGCCACATCCTGCAGCCCCGGCTACTCACGCATCGCTGCCTTCACCGCATCTCTATTACCTTCCCCACGGTAAAATGGTCAGCAGAGCAAGGCCACTGCCCCGGCTGTGGGGACCATCGCCGGAGCCTGCGATGCGTGGTTCGCCCCGGGGGTCGCCTGGTCTGGGCGTGTGCGGCATCTGGCCAGGGAGCCAAGCTCTGCAGCGAGCAAGAGGGGGCCCGCGGCCTGTCCCCTCGCAGCTGCCCTCCCTGGCTTCGTGCCCAGCGCGCAGCCCGGAGAAGCCCTTTCAGGAACGTTCTCGCACGGCTTCACCTTTTTGTATAGACAAGTATCAGTCCCATCCTAGCTACCTATACTTGACCACTGGCTCTCTTTTCTTTCCGTGGAGCACTGGCTTGCTAAAGCAGGCTACATTTTGAAATGACAAAGCCTAAACAAAGCAGGCCAGACTTCGCAATATAAGCAGACCCGCTCAGTGGCGGCTAGCCTAAAATCATTTCCAGCTGATGTTCACTTTCTCACCTCCTGCTCCACAACACACATTAAGCATGTGTTGAAGAAGGTCATTTTATTTATTTTATTTATTTAAAGCATTTCTATGCCGCCCCCATCACAACAAAGCCTCTCAGCAAAACTCTCCAGGATTACCCAAAAAGAGGAACTCGCCTCTGCCCCACCCCCGGCCCTTTCCGCATGAGGGACTCACTGTATGCTTGTCCCAAACACAATCCACCAGTACTGCCCATAAATAATCATGAATACAGAATAAATTATGCAGGTAGAAAAGTTCAAGGAAAATCCTGTATTTTCTTGAGTGACTGCATGAAACCCTGGTGTATGTGTGCAGTTCTGCTACTCCACAGCGCCACCTAGTGCTTATGGCATATAGAAAGGCAGAGAAATAAACCCTCCTGGGAAAAGAAGAAAGAAAGAAGCTGATCTTAATCGCATGAGGAGAAGTGAAGGGTTAAAGGCCTGGGTAGCAAAGCCACTGCTTTGGGTTGCTAAAAAGAGGTGCCCTTGGGGGCGAAGCCACTCGAGGCTCCTCCTGCCAGTGGCGACTGTCTGGTCGCCTCTCGTGACTGTATTTATGGACGCCTCATGGCTGATGAGTATATTTTGTCTGAAGCACAGCATTAATGCTTTCCTGGCCCCAAACTGAGTTATTTTCCATACAGCCTGGACAGCGATCGCATGCAGATCATTCGTTCTATAAATTCCCTCAACTCTGAACTCTGGCAGCCACTTCAGTGGGTTGCATTTAATGCTGCATAATGAGGCATTTTATTTTATTTGTTTTGCCAGCCAAAAACATAATGTTCCCATATTTGTGGCATGAAGACACAATAAAAGTCATTTCCCTCTCCCTCGAACCGTTAAATATTCTAGGCTGTCCGTTTCAGGGACTTTTCAAACTAAATCAGCCGCCTTCTTCCCCAAACGTCTCCTGTGCTCTGTGGGGCTGAATGGCGCTTTCAGGAGAGTCGCTCCTCTCCAACTCTGCTTCCTTCCTTCATAAAGCTTGTCCAGAAGACAATTCCGATGGATCGTCTCCTGCCTCAAACATTCCACCCATCCTGTGCCAGGAAAACCACGTGTGCAACTAAATGTATGCTTGGGAGGGCGTTGCAGCTAATTTCAGCTCTCTGGACTGGTATGATGCATGTGTTTGCCTTATTCACACACTTCATTCCTTTTTAAAAGCCGTATACTTAAACTGGGCCGCAGAGTGAAGCGAGACCTCTCCCATCCGTGCCCAAGAACAGCTTTGCAAGCAGTCCCGGGAGCGGCGCCTTCGAAAGATCACAGACCCGGCTCCCAGCCCTTCCCTGGCAGCCTGACCCTTTCATGTGCCCTGTTGCTTGTTGATGCCGCCGTCTGGCGCTGCGCTGCTTCCAGCGGGATCCAATGCCGCTCCATCCCGACGTGGGTCTCCTGCGCTCTGCCGGGTGGCTCCAGGGAAGCGTTCCGAGCACTGCCAGTTGTGCAAGACGGGGCGGTTCCGTTCCACGGAGCTGCTGGGAAGCGTCCCACTTGTGCTTTCTTCGCAAGCCACTTCCCCACCCATCTGATGAAAGTCACATCTTCCTCCTGTTGCTCATCTCCAAAAACTTTCTTCCATTTGAAAAACCAAACTGAAAAGCAACTGGATGCGTGTTTGGGGGAGCAAAACCCTTCAGAGGACGTGGGCCAACCTGGGGAGGCAGGAGAGCAAAGCCTTCCACATCCAAAGGCCACCACCCCAGTGGCATGCCTCCAGCTGCCCGGGCCTCCAAGGCCGTTGAGCGACACGGCTTTTCTGATACAGAAAGGTGTTCTCTGCAAACCTTTTCTGCATTAGAGCAACCTTCCTCCCAGAGAGAATATCTCTGTGAAGACTTTTGGGAGGGAAGGGAACCCACGGCACCGTAATGGTTTCCAAAGTGTTTACAAGAGCGTACCAGGGCTGTAAATGATTTTCCACCTGTCTGGATCAACTGTGGTGGCTTTACTACACGACCCAACACTTACATCGTTGGTGTAATTTGCATAATGCATCCCGGATGTTACCTCCCTGTCTCCATGGTTTAAAACTTGGATTGGGCTTGCAGGGTGTCCGTCTCTTTGCTTGGGCAAAAGGCAGCCAGCCGGCATCTCCTGCAGCCACGACGGCAGGGACAAGAACCCTCTTCGCAAGAAGCCCGACAAGCTGCCTGCCGAGGCAGGGTCGTGCCCCTTTGCTCCTTAGCAGCATTTCCCAATGCATACAGCTTTGATCTCTTTGGAAATTTGCACTTTCTAATAGGACACTTTCCTCCAGAAGCTTCAGATGATTTTTTTTCTTTCAAATTATCCTTCTTTTATTCCTTCTTTCAGTGGTGTTTCTCGCTTTCTGTTTTCTTTTCTTCCTTCTGATATCTTCATGCTGGGAAGAATTTGAGGCTTAAAAAAACACAATCCAGGATTTACTGAATATGATTCAAGGCCAAGCTAGGCAGGAAGTTAGATAAGTGCCGGTTTTTAAAAATGCAAATGGCCTTAGCTGAGAGGGTGATAACTCATGGGAGTAGAGCAGCCACGGAAGGAGCCGAGGCATTTCACCCGGAGGAAAATGCCTCACCTGAAGCTGGTATTTGCACCGGGGAGAAAACCTCAATTGCTGTCTCTAGAGTATTTCCAGATTCCAGATGCCGGCAGATTCCAGCTTCAGAAACGGGAGCACAAAAGGGAAGTGCCCTTTGGAACTGCTCGCTGCCCTGACTGAGCACTTTGCTCTTGCTCCTCGGGTGACTGGCAAGCAGAAGAAGGGCCGCACAAGGCTGCTTCGGGGGGCCCGATATCCCCGCTGCTGTCAAGGTGCTCATTTTTGGAAAGTAATCTTGAAAGAAGACATCATGTCTTAAGGAAGAACATCCTGCTCACTGCATCCTACCCTTTGGCCTCTACACATTTTTGTTACTTGATTCACGGCATTCAATTCAGGCTAAATTGAAGCCAAAGACACGGGCGGTCAAGATGGGGGCGCTCATGCCGGGAAGCATACGATCTGGCTTTCTATGCAAATTAGATGCAAAGGGGCCAAACTGCGATACAGGGCCGTATGCCTGCAGATTGACATCTCTGCTGATTTATTAGTGGGGACAATTTTAATTAGCGGGGCTGACACTTAAGGAGACAATTGATCATTTATTGAGAATATGTTGGTTTTACTCCATTTCCACAGTGATGAATAAAGACGATACTGAAGATGTCGCTTCCTTCTAAAACTGAATGGTAGTATAAGGTCATGATGCTACGGTGGGGGGGATGGGGGGTTGCTCAACAGAAGAGCCACAGATGGCAAATGTCAGGGGACTGAGAGCCACAAGTGGGTGCCACGAATGTCCACAGGCAGCAAGCCGTGAGCCACAAAATAAACTCAAAGAGCCGCATGTGGCTCCCGAGCCTTGGGTTGGCCACCTCTGTGCTGGAGGGACTCGCGGTTCCACGCCCATGGTCCTGGGGCAGGTGACGGGTGCTCACAGAGAGGAGTCCCGCTGCCCTGGCACATCTGCCTGTTTCCAAGGTTGCTCTGGGTCCCACCGCCGCAGTGGAAACAGTAGCGCCCCGTGGCGATGCGGACCATTCGTAGGAGGAAGTGCTTTGCTTCTCTTCTGCCTCTCTAGATCAAGGCTCGCATGCCATGAATATATTTAAATTTCATTGAGCAGCTTTCTCTTGAGAGAAAAATGCTCATTGCCCATCTGCCATTGGAGTCAGAAATACCCAATGCTAATAAAATTGAACTCGTATTTGCTCTGATCATACTACTGCATCCGTACTGATTTTGTATTTGTGCTTTATTGCAAGCATACAATTGTCAAAAACAAAGCAAGGCAAGTCGCTGCGACCCGCAGCGCACAAGGCAAAAACCGATAGGCACGGGCCGTGTGGTCGAAGACTCCCTACATAAACAGTAAAATATTGTTTGACTACTATATATGTCATGTAAGATCTGGACAAATATCACATTGCAGTAATTGTGTTGTGAATTGTGCGGTAAAAAAATCTCATGGACTTTGTAACTGGAAGTACCTTCCACCTCAGCAATCCATACATAGTCATTTTATAGCCGCAGGTTCAGGCCAGAGAAATTTTCCTTTCCAAGAAAAACTCTTATTTCCTTCATCACAGAAAAGATTCCCTGCATATTCTCTGGCTTCGGACCCCAGGACTGATTTCACCTCAGAGAGAGCACTTCTCGGTTATCCCAAGTTGGAGGGAGTTGATCTCGAACTCATAAAAGCGAAAGGAAGGACTGAGGCCGGGCACGGAAGTGCCACGGGCAATGCACTCCTCACTGTAGTTTTAAATAGCCAGGACGAGCGCTTGCACCTCTCCCGAATCCGGCTACGCACTGACTAAAACCAGCCGCTCAGCTCACCCTCTCTGCTTTCTGCTCCGGCAGGCGACCAGTTGAATTCTGAAGAGAAGAAGAAGAGGAAGCAGAGGCGGAACCGGACCACCTTCAATAGCAGTCAGCTGCAGGCGCTGGAGAGGGTCTTCGAGCGCACCCACTACCCGGACGCCTTCGTGCGAGAAGACCTGGCGCGCAGGGTCAACCTCACCGAAGCCAGGGTGCAGGTGAGTACATGGACTGCCCTGCAGAGCAGCATCTGCACCTCATCTTTTTTCTCGAAAGAAAGAAAGAGATGAAGTGTAAATTCCCCTTTGATTCACGCCTTGGAAACGACACACAGGTTCTTGCTTGGTTTTAATGGGGTGTGCAGTTTTATTTTTGGTCTACTGAGAAAATGCAGAGCTACAGAAACATTTAAAAAGGCATTTTAAGAAAAGAGAAAATAATTCCGGTCCTCCTACTGGTATTGGTCTGTCCCACAGTGTGTTTCTCCATCTCCATCTCTCAAAGCTGCACCACTCTTTTGAAGGGGGTTACTCTGGAAGTCTTAGCCAGGCAATGGCAGGGCGAGGGACTGAGGACGCTCTGCCTGCCTGCCTGCCTGCCTGTTGTCCACATGTATGTCTTGGACCTTCAGTGTGACAGCATTCCAAGAGTAACTTATAGCTAAAGTAAAATAGGCCAACAATGTAAAATGTCCAAAAATGGAAGTTGAGTCCAGCCAGTGGAGCAGCTCGTTCTGAAGCAGGACCTGCCAATCTGGTGTAGATTATTACAGGTAGCTGGGACAACAAAATATTTTTTCTGCCCATCAGAAGGTGAGCCTTCTGAACTAGTAATACCTTCCCAGACTGGCTTTGAAAGAAGTGAAATGTCCAGAGTTCTGGGAGTACAAGACCTAAAAGTCTGAGTGTGGGTTCCTTGTCAAAGCATAGGTTGTTGCTGAAACGTGGGTGAGCATGTTGTCTAAACCCAGCCGATGTAACAAACCATGGCGAACAACCCACCGTTCACATCTCAACAGCCAACCATGCATTCTCTCCATGGGTTGCTCATGGTTAACAAGCCATGACTTATCAGCATTTAAAGAACAAGATAACCCAAGTTTCAGCAACAACCCATAATTCAACAGCAACACACACTTAACCCACATTCAACCCCAAGAGTGGATTTAGCCATGTCCGCAAGTTTTTCCCCATCATAGAATAAATATAGAATAAAGTGAGCTCGAAAGCAACTGAGAGTCGGTTCATGGATATTTGCATAGCCATAACCAGTGATAATGACTATTGCAACCAGCACAGCAGTGAGATCTCATGCTTAGAAGTTCTGTTCAAGGGCACTAACCAGAATTGTCATGCTGAGTCTCTCAGGATTTCAGCCATCAGTCCATGCTTAAATCATTCCCATGGAGGCCAAAAGGGCTTAAAGGGTTTCAATTGGACTGAATTCCCACGGAACAGACAATATCCGTATTTTGTAGGGAGCCGTATTATTTTGATAGTGGACTTAAATCTAACGTATGAAATTCCACATAGGAGGAAATGACTGTTAAATCCTAGAAGCAGCTGCCATCCCTTCTCTGCTTTAACAATCAGAGGGAACTTGAAGGAGATGAGAAAAGCGTATAGGAAATTTATGCCGACTTTTTAACTGGATTTATGGCATGGGCAAACTTCTGAGTCAAGTAGGGCGGCCAACGGAATATCTCACAGGCCACGGACTTGGCTGAGGTTCTCGCTGAGGTGCCCTGTTGGGGTTTTAATCGCAGAAATGTGTGCCGGCGGCATTCCCCAAGGTGAACCCCGGCCCAGGCTGCTTCCCAGTGGCAGGGCTTCCCACGCCGGGGCAGCCAGCGCCGTGCAGCAGCGATTGGACGGGATCATGACCGCATCTCATCTGGCAGTGAGCGGACGAAACAGACCAGGAGACTGACTAAGGATTGCCTGTGGGATTGTAAGGGCCGTGAAATGTTTAAAAACAGCGCAAGCCGCATCTCAGTGCATTTAACAAATCCATTTGTGAGGAGCACTGATTTGCGGAAATCACCGTTCGTGCAGCGGGTGCTGCAAGTATGCATCTTGCCCCTTGCAAGAGAAGGCGTGTGCAAGGCCTTTGCACGCATTTCCAGCACAGATGGGAACTGGCCTCTGTGCACCAGGCGGGAAGAGCTGCAGACGTCTGCCGGGCTCGAATGAGATGCGTTCCACAGCGTCTCAGATTCATCGCTGCGGCGCTGTGGGGCCAGGCCCCATGGCTCTTTCGCTGGCACTGGGGCTTTTTCCCATGCTTCAGAGGTGGGGCGGGGGTGCGGTGAAAGCAGATAAAGCTTCATGACGCTCTAGATAGCTACTCGCTTGATCTGCCCAAGTCCACCTGCAGCAAATCCCCCCACAACTGTCTAAAACCACAGAGACCTTTGAGGAGGTCAAGAAGCCAAGCCTTGCGTCACCTTAGACTGCATTTTTCCTGAAAGCGAAGTTGCATCTTTGCGTCTTTAAAAAAATACGGGCCGATTTGGTTAGCTGTGCAGCTGTGGGGCGTGGCAGGCATCTATTTTTACAATCAAACTGTACTGGGGGGAAGCCCTCCCCTCCTTTACCTCCATGTACTCACCCACTGGAACGCTTCTGGCTCCCTTCCCCAGCATGACTCCTGCACCAGGTGTGAGCCTGAGCAGGGGAAAACTGAAACCATCCCAGGATTTTGCTCCCCCCCCCCCGTGCATTTAGTCGGATAGTCAAGGTGCACGGCCCACCCTGACGCTCCGGGGTGCGGTTAGGCCCCTCAAGCCCACAGTGTCCCCCGGGGCCCATGGCCTACCTTTTTCCAAGCCTCCTGGCCACACTGGGGTGGCCGTGGTGAATTCCAGGGGTGTGCAGCTGAAGAGGGAAACTGTAACACACACACACACACACACCCATCAACCCTGAAAAACCCCACGCCCCTGCACGGCAGGTAAGCCAAAGGAAGGCTATGCTCAGCTCCGCACTTAGGCACTTCCTTCCACCAAGCCGCTCACCACCGCGCCAAGACTCCTCCCTTGCTCAGACCCCATCAGCCTCAACTTGGGGTTGGGATTTTTTGCTCCAACAGGCACACTATACAGTTGCTTGTATCAAAGCGCATTTGCTCTTCAGATGCTCTTTCTCCCAGCTTGGAGAGATCCCTTCGGCGCCCCTCATAATCCCGTTTGGTTCTAACCGTCCTAAAGAGTTTAATGTCACCAGCAAACTTGGCCACTTCACTGCTACTTCCAGATAATTTCTGAATAGATTGAACAACATTGGTCCTAATACAGAACCCTGAGGGATTCCACTGGTGGCATCTCTTCACAGGGAAACATTGCCAATTTATCTATCTTCTGCTCTTTAGCCAGTTAGTGATCCATAAGAGCCCCCCCCCCCCCCCGCTTTATTCCATGACTTCTCAGTTTGCTTAGGATCCTTTGCCAAAAGCCTTTTGGAAGTGAACAGTCCACCCTGATTGTCCTTGTCTAATTGCTTATTGATGCTCTCAGATAACTCCTATAGGTTAGTGAGGCGAAACTGCTCCTTGCAGAAGCCTTGCTGATTCTTTTTCAGCAGAGCTTGTCCCTCTGGGGGTTGAGATGGGGCTTTTCTCCAGGAGGGAAAGAGAAGTAGGAGGAGAGGGAAAAAGATAGAAGTGGAGGAGAAGGAAGGAAAAATCTTTTTATTGTCCTTATAAAACATGACACAATGTGGGCAGAAGACTTTTCTCCAGGTCTCCCAGGTGCTGGTGTTGTGTCGAGATGTGCCAGCAAGTCTCCAACTCAACAACATCCTGCAGATGCTGCTCAAAGTTTGTTCCATCTCATGCCGGTTTCGGTCTCTAATCTTCGCCTTTTTGTTTAGTTTTTCATTTGCATGAACATTTCTGCATAGTTTCATGTGCCTTTTTTAAATTGTATACATCAGTTGTGGGCGACAAGATATCCAGAGAGAGCTGGGGGTGTGCAGTCAAAGGACAGCTGCTGCTTATTCAGACAATCAGAAAAAACATCACCCGCATGGAAAGAGCCACACAATCTGACAACAAGGAAATGTGGGGCTCTGATAAAGTTGCAGCCACATACATAGCATGGGAGAAGAAGGGCTGGGAAGATCATGTGCCCAAGAGAAGCGCATTGCACAAGCATGACACAAAGAACAGCCGAGATGAGCTAGGTAGAGGGTTTATGGGGAATTTATACAGCGAGGGATACAGGGAAAGGTGGCCAGCTAGGCTCCATAGCACACAGAAAACCGGTCAGGTGACACAGTTCCTTTCTCACAAGGAAGCGCCCGGCAGAGGAAACGCAACAGGTACACAGACGCCTTGTCTTAATGAGCGGTCAGTCAGGATTCGTGGATGCAACTCTTTGTAACAAGCTCCGCCTGCCACTCACTTGGTATTTGGATGTTGGAAATGCACTGGAAATGCCCAGGGACTTGCTTTCTCTGCAGGAATGGGGGGGGGGGCTTAGACCAGGAGTCCCCAAACTTTTTCCAAAGGGGGCCAGTTGACAGGTGCCAGCCGTGGGCAAGGGCCGCCAAGGTGAGGGGCGGGTGGCACGCGCACACGCACGCGAGGCGGGGACTGGGGAGGGGGTGTGCAGGGTGAGGCACCGGCTTGCTCGCGAGGAGATCGAGCCCAAAATGACCTCCTCGCGAGCAGGCCTCCACCGGGCGCGTGCACAGCAAGGAGCTGGCTGCTCAGGAGATCATTTTCTCCCATCAGTCCAAAACGACCTCCTCGTGAGCAAGCCCCGCGCCCACACACACATACCCGGCGAGTGCAAAACTGGTGGGGTGGGCCGGTTAAATGGCATGGCGGGCCAGATCCGGCCCGCGGGCCTTAGTCTGAGGACCCATGGCTTAGACTGTGGGCTTGCTGTGAAAATGGTGCCTCTTCCTTTTAATCCTTTAATTAAAGGTTTCCTTTAATCCTGATACAGGCATCTGGATTAAGCTCCCATGCACTTTTCAAAATTACACATTTTTCATGTTCCTTTGTCAGACACCTGTGTGCCATACAACACAGTTGTGGAGTGACACAAATCACAGCCAAGCTTGGGGGGTCTTTCAGGAACGCAGCAGATTGTGCTCAAGGAATGTGCGAACTGGATAAAACCCAGTCAAGACGATTAGCTTCCACTCCTTATTCCTTGCTTCTTTCCAAGCGCCCCCGTCTCCTTCACCGTGCCCAGCTGGGGAGCTTGCCCCCGCCCCCCCATTCCAGCCTGCCCCCCCACGCACCTTCCTAGAATGATGCCTCCCTCCCCTTCGCCCATCTCAGGGTGAGTGGGAGGCCTATTACCGCCTTGTGTGCTCCCACGTAATTCCTGTGTCTTCATTAATTCTTACTGTCTCTTCTTGTTGGGTTTAACAGCGAAGCCAACATGGCAGAGGGCTTCCAAAGCGCGCTGTCGTGAGGCGCTGGTCGGCTGCCCCCTCTTGTTCTCTGTCGTGGATTTTCCACATCAGGGGAAAAGATGGAAGAGGCTGCTAGAAATGCAGGAAGACTGTCAGGAGGAGGTTCCTGCTCTCCCTAAGAAGCTTCCCAGCAAACTGCGTAGGGCAAGGGTGCCGCGCAAGGTTGGGGTGGCCCCCAGCGCATGGGGGGGGGGTCCCCCACACGGCAGAGCCCCGTCACGCAGGGCACCTCTTCTCCCCTCACAGGTGTGGTTCCAGAACAGACGGGCGAAGTTCCGCAGGAACGAGCGGGCCATGCTGGCCAACAAGAACGCGTCCCTCCTGAAGTCCTACTCGGGGGACGTGACCGCCGTGGAGCAGCCCATCGTGCCCCGGCCAGCCCCACGGCCCACCGACTATCTCTCCTGGGGGACCGCCTCTCCCTACAGGTGACTGCACGGCATCCCCCTCCCGCCACCCCGGACCCGCTCTTCTGTGCGCAGCCGGTGCGCTGCTGTGCCCAGTTGCCCAGCAGGAAGCCCAATGCGAGACGATCCGAAAAGGAAACCGGACGGCCCTCCGAGTGGGAGGGTGTGAGCTGGTGCCCTGCAGCAGCAGCAGGGGCTTGGGCCTGGTGGCCTTCTGGCCCCTTCCGACTCTGCTGTCCAATGATGCTATGCTGCTATGATCAGGTCTCCTTCTGAGTAAGTGTGCACCTGGCTGCACAGTCGGGCTGATTTAAGAGTCAGGCCATGAGTGCCTTCTGCATCGCCCATGCACAGTCCTAGTTGACTGAGAATCGTTTGGGGGGTCGGATGGTTGCATGGCGTTTTTGCTACAACGCCTGACTGTTTGCCGAAATGAGGCACCATCACCCCTTTCAGGGTCGTCCCCCCACCAAAGAAACCGCCCCTCCCCATGTTGCCAGTCTGCACCATCAGCAGTGCCCGCAGCTGCTCTTCCCGCCTGCTCGTCACTGCCCCGGGACAAGCCGTGCCCCCGTTTCCGCAGGGGCGGACCAGCCCTGCCAGGAGGAAGAGCCGTTCCCAGGCGTCCTCGCTGTTGTTCTCGTCTCCCGCAGCCCTGGCAGCCACCTGCGTTTGCCACTGCGTAGCTCGCCCTTTGAAATCCCAAAAACAAAAAAGGCAAACAGAGAGTTGTGCAAAACTCCTGGGAAAAGCTCTTGGCAGAGCCCGAGACCAGAGTAACGCAAACAGAACAAATGTGGATCGTGTGGAAAATAGAGGCTTTGGCCGGTGCGCAGCCGTCCTCTTCTTCTTGCCAGCTGGACTGTGCAGCGCTCGGCAGAACCAGCGCCAGACCAGGCCCAAGGGCCCACAGTGTATAATCCACTGGAAAACTCTCTCATTCAAGTCTCTTTGAGACAAATAACAATTGTCAGGTGAATTTTGTTTCTATTAGTTAGCCTTTTTCTTTTTAGCATACCAGACTCCCTCCCAGAGGTGTTGAAATCTTGCACGTGGGTTTGCTTGAATTCGGCTTTGTTTGTTCCCTGTCTTTAGCTCAGCTCAAAGCAAAGCACGTGCTTCCATCGGCCCTTTTGTCACCTGGGGAAAGGAGGAGCCCCAGGGCATGCGGCTGGCGGTTCCAGGTGAAAAAGGTGAAAACCGCACCTGGCCTTCCAGTGGTGCTGCATGGCCCCTTGGCTGGGAGATGCCATGACAGGGAGCCAGCCGGTCCAGAGGGGGCCAGGCGGGGAAAGGCCGAGGCGGGCAGAGCTCCCGAGTGCCTCCAGCCTGATCAGGTGGGGAGCCAGGGGTGAATCCAGGCACTGGAGGCCCCGAGGCAGCTTCTTTGCTTGTCCAGCCCTTCCACACATGAACGAGCCCAGGTTTCCCGCTAAAGGTTATATTTTTGAGCCGCCAAATCTGAAATAGGCATGGGAAGAGAACAAGCCTTTCTAGGATGGTTATTGCAGCATCGGGACCTCATCGCCCAGTGTGAACCACCCAGTAGTTCCCCTTTCCCTGTGCTATAACAGCAGCCAGGAATGCGGAGGAATCTTCCGCAAGCACTGCAAACATGGGCCAGTAGGATATCCAGAAAAACTTCCTGTTAGAGCTGTGCAGCACTGGAGCCAGTGACCTGGGGAGGTGGTGGGCTCTCCACACTGGAGGCCTTCAGAGGACGGCTGGACAGGGAGGGCGGGCTGAGCCGGAAGTCCTGCTCTGGGCAGGGCTTGGCCCTTCCAGCTCCCCGCTCCCCGACACGGTGGTGGCTGAGCGGGGCTGCGAGCAGGTGGTCTGCTCCCCGGCCTGCCAGGGCGGCTTGGGGCACAGACCCCTGCAGGGGGCCTTCTGCTGAAGAGGCACGTGCTCCGAAAGGCCAGCCGAGCGTTTTCCGGAGCGCTCGCCGGGCGCGATGCAGCCAGGCTGCTCCAGAAGGTTGTGCTGACGCCCTGTTTCTTCCCTCCTGCCCCGCTTCCCTCCCAGCAGTGCCATGGCTTCCTACTCAGCCTCCTGCACCAGTGCCAGCCCTGCCCAGGGCATGAACATGGCCAGCAGCATTGCCAACCTGAGGCTGAAGGCGAAGGAGTACAGTTTACAGCGGAACCAGGTGCCGACAGTGAACTAGGGGCTGCGGAGCCGGAGCGGCCCCCCCCAAGAAAGAAAGCCGGCCCGGCGGGGCAGCCGCCTCGCTCCGCCCGCCGTTCCGACCCGGAAAACAAACCAGCATTGGGAATGAACGCAGGATCCTAATTCACGGGGATCTCTGTGCAGGTGACGTTCCTCTTCCCCGCCAAAGAGCACCACTCCAAGCGCTTGCAAATCGGTTCTCGCTCGATGCGACCTGGACGCGGCGAAGGACACAAGGGTCGCCCGGGAAGGGCCGCGGGCTCCTGGCTGGCCCCTCCCAGTGCCTTCAAGACCCACGGCGGCCACTTGCCCCGCTTCCACAGGCCTTTTAAACACGAGGATTCGTGAAGCCAAAGATCTCCCCGAAGCAGGACAGAGCACGTCCGAAGCGGTCGCCGCGGTATATCCCTCTGTGCCTTGGATCCCGATATCCTGGAAATCGGCCCCTCCCCGAGCCCTTCTTAGTTATTTGAAGCCAATCTTGGCTGAGAAATGTGGTTGCCGCTGTTTCTTCTCCCATAGTTTCTTGGCACTGTTAGGTGTGTTGCAAGAGATTAAAAAAACACCAAATATGAAATTCCTTTAATTTGGTCCAGTTTTGGTGAAGGACCACGCCAGTTTTCAGGCCACACAGAACTCTTCCCCTTGATACGAATGTACGAGCGTGTGCTTGGGGCATTGTTCCGAGGCGCTCAGAAGCCTTCTGCGCTTACCGCCTCTTGGGAAACCCAAAGAGGAGCAGAATCCAGACTTGCAGGTACAATCAGTGCTGATCAGTGTTCAGAGCAAAACTGGGGGGCCTCATCCAGCCCAGATTTAGGCCTGCACCGGCCCACCGACTTCAGCGGGCTTCAGTGCCCCGGCTGTGCTGGAGAGCAGCTTCGCACGCCGTTCCCGCTACGCCTTCTGTTTCACGCCCCATTCAGCAGTGACATCCAGAACCATTTGATTTATATATACTGTATATATTTATATATATAAGATATACATGCAAGCTTTGTGAGTTCTCTTTTTTATTAAACAAAATAAAATGAACTGAGAGCATTCTGGCTGCAAGTCGTCATGCGGCGTTTCTAAACTACCGACAGGGAACCCTCCGGTTTGTGACCCGGCCGGCCCCGCCGTGAGGCACTGGGGGGCGACTTCGTGGGCTGCAGCGTGAGGTGGGGCAGGCGGCACCCCCCCGGTCTGCTGCGCTCGGGGCTCCCCTGGCTGCCCCCGGTACTGCCCTCCCCACCTGCTCCCGCCCACCCACCAGCCAGCCCGTTTTGCTCCTGCGGCCAGCGCATCCTGAACATGGTTTCCCGCTGGGGAAACGGCCCAGCACCGCTCCGTCTCTGCCCAAGCCCTAGCCCTAGCCCTAGCCCTAGCCCTAGCCCTAAGCCTCGTCCGGGAGGGTCCGGCGTGCCAAGAGGCGGGTGGAGCACCCAGCTGCCGTCGGGGAGCCCTGGGGCCGGCCGGCACTGGCCAGGGGTGTGGCGTGCAGAGAGAAAGACCGAGGGAAGTCCGCCCGGCAGGGCAGCACTCTGGAGGAAGGGGGCGCCGTGGATGCGGCGGTGCAGGAGGTCCCCGGGCTGGGAGGGCTCGGGCGCTTGCCGGGGGGCGGAGTGCTGTGCAGGGCAGGAAAGGAGCGTGGTGGGAAGAGGGATGCCCAGATGAACTGCAGTTTCGAGGTCTTGCGCTCCCTCTTAGGTCTCCTGCTGAAGGAGCCAAATTTCATGGTGGGAGCAGGGATCATTTCCTGCTTGACTCGATGGCATGATCACCCAGCACGCACACAGGGACACAGCGCAGGGCATCGGAGTCCACCGAGGCAGGAAGGCTCTTCCCCTTCTTGGCTAGCTGCCTCCTGAGGCCCCTCCAGGTACTTCCTGAGGCCCCATCCACTGAGTTAGAAACATAAACATAGAAACACAGAAGCAGAGCGAGTCAGAAGGGGCCTCCTGGGCGATCTAGTCTGACCCCCGGCTCCAGCCGGCTCTGCTCACGACACACCCGCCATGTGCACGCACAGCCTGTCCTTGAACACCCAGGGCTGAGAGAGCCCTGGGAGACCCATCAGCCCCTGACCAATTCAGCTTGGAAGGCAAGGCTGCTGCAGAAAAGTACCGCCTGGCCTGCTCACGTGCTTTCCATGGTGGCAGCAAGATGCAGTGACCAGCAGATGAAGGCTTCTGCTGCGTGGAGACCAACGTGATCAGCTGTGGATCGGTGCCGGCCAATTTGGCACAGCAAGCTGGCCAGTTCATCCCGCCAGGCATACGGAAGCCCAGTTCACGTCACCAGCCTTACTGCTAAGAGAAGCCGTGGGAAGGCTCCTTCACACACATGGGCACCGAGGTTCTTCTATTATCTATTCTGAAAGAAAACGTTGCTTTATGTCATAACGTTCGTAATAGTCCTAAGCATTTCCATAGTGCTTTTGAACATTCAAAACGCCTCACACACGTCTTCCCGCGATCCTTCCCAGCAGGTGAATATCATTTATTGACACACTCCTTGATGAATTATTAGAATATGTGCTCCTCCACTCAAGGGAATGTACAATGAAAGCAGTCAAGGAACAAATGCATAAAATGCAAAAGCTAGAACGAATAATAGAAGCAGTGGCAGTGGCACGGTAACGTCTTCCAGTATCCTGTGTCAAGCTCAGAAATAAATTGGAACCCGGTGTTCCAAGATCAGGGTTGCACGGCCAAAACTCTGAGCGTTGACGGACGTTCCCAGGCTTTCTTCAAGGGCGGCCCTGCAGAGAGTCCTTTGCCGTAATCTACGCACGGGACGGGATCAGTCCAAATCCCAGCAAGGCTATGCCAGCGAGTATGGAAAACAAAACAATGGCCCAAGGCTGGAAACATTCGATGTACATTCCAGCCTCTGAGAAAGGAGATGCAAAAGAGCGTAGCAACCAGAGGACCACCAAACTAATTTTCCACGCAAGCAAAGTATGTACAACCACTATTACCCTGTGTGGAGCGAGAAATGTCTGATGTTCAAGCTGGACTCCAAAAAGAAAGAGGTGCTTGAGGTTATGTTGCCAATACACATTGGCCACTGGATCTTACCAAAGGATTTCAGAAGAACGACCAGTCTGTGCTTCATAGGCGACAGCAGAGACTTTGACTGTGTGCGCCACGAGAAGCTCGGGGTGATCCTGGAAGAAACGGGGGTGTCTCGCAGCCTGCATCAGGGACAAGAAGATGCTTGCCAGAGGCGAAGGTGCCAGATGAGGCCGACTTTTGTCTCCCCGTCCGTCCAATCTGTATGCAGATCATATCCTAAGGAAAGCTGGAGCAGGATCAGAGGAAGGAGTGCAAATTGGCCGGTGACGCATCAGCAGTTTACGATGCGCAGGTGATACCGTGTTGTTGGCAGAAAACAGAAATGAATTGAAATGGCTCCCGATGAAAGTGAAAGACGAAAGAGCAAAAGCAGGATGGCCGTTGAATGTTAAGAGAAGAAAAAATCCTGCCTACAGAAGAATCGCACAACTTCAATGTCAACAATTAAGACATTGAAATTGCGGAAGATTTTACAGCTCAGTCATCCATTCGAAGGGAGGCCACAGCCAAGAAAACAGAAGAAGGCTGAGGCTTGGGAGGGCTGCAATGAAGGACCTAGAAAAGACCGTCAGGCGTAAGGGCGCTTCACCGGAGAGCAAGGCCCAGATCACCCACACTGCTGTGTTCCCAATCGGCGCATAGGGATGTGGAAGCCGGACAGTGAGAGGAAGAATGCTGATGTATCGGGAACCACGGTGCTGGAGGAGAGCTTTGCCAATACCCTGGACGTGCAGAAAGATGAGCCAGGGAGGCCTGCTTCACAGCCAGCCAGAGCTTCCCCTCGAGGCAAAAATGGCAAAACTGAAGCTGTCAAACTCTGAGGATGTCATGAGAAGACAAGACTGGAAGCCATCCTGGAAGACGATCGTGTCAATAGCCTGATGGCCCAAGAAGAAAATGAAGACCAACCAAGAGATGGGCTGACTCCAAAAAAGAAGCCACAGCCTTGAATTTGGAGGAGCTAAGCCGGGCTGCCATGCATAGGACATCCTGGAGGGCTTTCATGCATGGGGTCACCATAAATCGGGGACGACAGCGCACAGCATTGTCAACAAAGCATGAGGAGAGTGCGGCATGGGCCACTGAGCTCAGATCTGCCTTTCCCAGAACGGGAAGGGCGCTTCTGCCAAGAGCACCTCAAAGGTCAAAGGCAAAGTCACGTCACCCCAAAGGCAGTGAGCGCTCCCAAGCTCAGGTCAGCCTGTCTCCTAACCAACAGGACTTCCAATTTTGTTTGGACTGCATATCCGTCCGCTGGGCCCACATCCAATCCCACAGTGCATCCAGGGGTGCACTTCCCGTATTTTAGACATGTTGCCTTGACTAGTGTCGGTTGTGTTTGTGAATGTTTCCACCACATATGTGGAACAGTGGGGCTTGGCTGCTTCGTAGGAGGACAGCCAACTTCCAAATAAGTAACAGACAAGAGTCCCTTTAGCTGCCAACTTCTTTTCGCCTTCCTGTTGCCATTGGAGAGCAGTCTCTCATGAACTGTTATAAATTCCAAGCTTGGGATGGCAATATTAAGCTTGGAAATGGGAGAGAGTTGCTTAATGAACACAGAGAAAATGGCTCCTCTTTTCTGGGTCAGGAACAACACAGAATCTTAAAAACTATTGTAGTGTGAGCTTTCATGGACTGGAATCTACCTCAACATCGGGTAATCCTTCCACTTGGTTCTCAGTGAGAACTAGATGGGCGTTTAGCTTGAGTACCCCACAGAGAGAGTGGGGCACACAGGCTAATGATTTTGGTTAGGACAGGAATCTTCATCCTCCCTCTCTTAGAGCAGGTCCCAGCGACATGGGGTCTAATTAAGGATAGGATTTTCTTGTGTTTAATTAAAGTCCCAGTATGTACAAGCTGTTCCTCTAGGGACCAAATTCCAGCATCAAATATGATTCTCATCGCAGCCGCTCAATAATTTGCTGGTTAT